CCCAGGAGTTGGAGGTTGCTGTGAGCTGTAATGCCACGGCACTCTACCCAGGGGGACAGCTTGAGGCTCTGTCTCAAAAAAAAAAAAAGAAAATTATTTGGTGCTACTTCTCCAGTGAAAAATAAAAAGTGAAATTTGAAGAAGAAAAAGAAGCCACAGGAAAACAAAAACAAAAATAAAGAAAGAAAGAAAAAAGGAAAACAGCTAAATATTTCAGATTTCAGCTGGAGTCACCTCCTTCAGCAGAACAAGAGCCACAAGGATGAGGACGGGTCATTCTGAAGGATGACTGACTGTGGGGGGGGGTGGGGGGGCCTCAGGCCTTGCTTTCTCTCCCTCCTTGATTTTGCTCCCCTCACCCCTCCCTTGCTGCCCTGGCTCTCCCAGATTGGCTTTGGGGCAAGAATCCTGCCGTTGATAGTCTTGGGGTGGATCCCCCTGCCGTCCTGTGCTCCTCTCCTGAGCCCTTGTCTTTCTGGTTGTTTCCTTTTAGTCCTGCTTGACCTTGAACTAATCACCATTTTTGCCTTTACAGAAAGAAGAAGGTACCGAAAAGCAGGAAGATGACCGTGTGTTTGTCCTGAGCTTGGAATGCATCCTCAAGGCAGGGGCTGGCCAGGAGGCCTGGGGGTGATAAACTCCCTGGGGCCCTGGGACCCTGAGGGAGCCACACCTGCTGCCTGGGCTGTGCTGATTCCTGCTGGCTCTTCCTTTTTTTTCTTTTTTTGAGACAGAGTCTCACTCTTGTTGCCCTGGGTAGATTGCCATGGTGTCATAGTTCACAACAACCTCTTAGATGTTTAGGTCAGGCACAAATGTTCCAGTCCCTCTGTGCTAAATCTCATCTCTAAATACTTAACTTCTAGAGGGTGTACCACCCTCTGCCCCTCCTCAGAGGCTTCTTAGTGTGTTGCCATCTGCTCCTTCAGCTTCTTCTCCCACCTCCTAACAGGTGATCTGTGTCCTTAGTGGACAGAGGTCTTGGCAGTGGCCTAGGGTGCTTTAACCAGGGACCCCTGTCTCCTGCTAGGCTTCCCCACAGCAGGCTGGGAGCACGAGCTGAGTTTCTGTCTGCTGGAATGAAGACTAGAAAGTGAAAGGGCTGCCGCCCTCACCCCATAGCCACGTACTTCCCAGAGCAGCCAGTCAACCGGATTTTTCCAACACTTGGCCAAGAACTCTACTCACCGAGCTGTCTGCAGTCCTGTGTCTGCTTCAATGACTGTGTTATTGTACAGAAAAGATGTTTTATTAGCCTAGTTTATATCTCCAGGACGGGGTTTATAAAACAACAAAAACAGGCTCTTCTGGATTCTGTCAGTCCCTCCCAGTGCAGAGCTGGGCCCAAGCAGTCCCTGCACGTTGATAAATTCACTGTGGCCACAAACGCCTGCGCGGGAAACAGGGCGCGGAGTCCTCAGAGAGCAGAGAGGACAAACTCCAGAATGGAGGCGGCAGTTTCAAGGAACAAAATTCCCCCAGAAATTCCCAAGAACCTAAAGTGTCTCCGCCATCCTCTGGGGTCTGATCTGTGAGTTTGACCCCAGGGAACTTGGCTGGGGCCAGTTTAGCTTAGCCTGGTTCCTAAAACCAAAGGTGATGCTGGCACACTGTGTGCAAGTGCCTGGAGACATTGACAAAAGGTGCCCAGTAGGCAAGGATGCCAACAAAGCCGTCTCTCAAATACTGGGCAGAACTAAGAAGCCAGAGACCAGCAGAGGCCGGGCACGGGGACAGACGGGGCAGCAGTCAGGGGCAGTTTCTCGGCTCCCAGGGACAGCTGGCTCAGGACTCAGGCACTGGCACTCACTGGCTGGCTCAGGACAGGTGATGCAGAGTCTGAAACAAGGGAATAGCGTGCACCTCGCACCCTCAGGGGGATGGCAGGTGATGGCAAGTGTCTGGTATGTGGCACCTTGCAGCCCGAGACCCTGCCCACAGTATTCTACCCAGGCAGAAGGCAGCTAGTCTCATAGCCAAGTGGCCCAGATGGGTCCGGGTGGGCCTCCGGTGCTCCTGCCCACATAAGGGGGTCCTTTGGGAAGGAGGAAGTTTGCAATGTCAGTGCGTGAAGCTAACTGGAACGAGGTCACCTCAGACCCCTTTTATTCCCTTCAGTCTGGCCAGGAATCTGGGCCTCCCCAAGTATCAGCCAGAGAGGCAGCCTGGCTGTGCAACCTTCTGGAGCCTTCCGTTACCTGGAAACATAGCAGCAGCTTGTAGCACAATGACAGAAACAAGTGACAAAAAACTGAATGACGTGACCGGAGATTCTGCAGTTTCTTCCCCTGGATGGATTCTATTGACAGCTCAGTCAACACCCTGAAATCTGCTCTACCGAGGAGAGCAGCGTCAGCAGAGGAACTGCACTGTCTCTCAAAGTCAGGAGCAGGTTCTCTGACCTGGTGCCCGCAGCAGTCCCGAGTGGCCAATAGTGACGCACCCGATGGGGAAGCCAGGACTTGAGGTGAGCTCCCCGAAATACCTTGTCTGTGGCCAGACCAGAGCCCTGCCACCTTCCTTTAAATCCCATTTCAGAGGTTTTTGTGTAAAAGTGTTAATAGGATGAATATAAAAATACACGCAGAAGAGATCCAGTGATCCAGGGGTCAGCACATGAGGTCGAGGTGTCCTGGCTGCAGAGCCGCAGAGAGCAGGGCCCAGGCGGCGGGAGCTGGGGGACTCTGATGTCCGATGCAAGGACAGGTGACTAGGAAGAGAATGGAGATTTCTCAGGGAGCCAGGAGCGTGGGCCTGGAGGAGCCCAGTAGGGTGGTGTGGCAGGGCAGAGCCACCAAAATGCAGGCAGCAAAAGCGAACATGTTTCTTTTTCTAGAAAGCTGTAATTACCTAGTCACCCTTTCAGGCATTGTCTTATAAAACCTCCCGCTGGCAGCAGAACTCTTGTAACTTCGAAGCTTTAGCTGTCCTTGACATGGGCGGCAAGGTTGGCAGGTGCAGGGAAGGATGGCTTCCGGCCTCTGCAGCCTGGTGGGACAGCACCTCAGGCTCCCTTTGATAGGAGCCAAAGTTCAACCAGTGGAAATTCAAGCAGAAGGGCCATTAGTCCAGGATTGGGCGGGACTTTTCTATCCCTTTGCATCAGTTGGAACCAAGTACCATAAACCCGGTGGCTTAAGCCATAGAAGTCTATTCTCTGACGGTTCTGGAAGCCAGAGGTTCTGTATCAGGGCGTTGCAAGGCTGTGCTCCCTCTGAAGGGCTCCCTCCCGGCTGCTGGGCGGCTCTTGGTGCTGACCTCTCTACAGGAGCCTCCCTCCCCTGCCGGGCTTATTTCAGACTCGGAGTCCAGGGAGCCTTCGGCCTTGACTCACTTCACTTGTGTGGTTTTGTTTTCTGGGATATTTATTGTGTTTTAGAGCCAGTGTCTTTGTGATTAAAATTCTGAACTACGTGTAATTGCTTTGTTTGAAGTGGATGGGAAGTTTTAAGAGTGAACTGATGCTGACCCTACAATCATTCGCCTCCTGGAAAGTAATGTCCTCACAGCCCGGCCCAGTGCCGGGCTCCACAGAACATGCCACCTGGTGCAAATGTCCAAACAGCACAGAAGCAGGGTTGGGGTGAAGATGCACAGAGCTTGTTAAAGCTTGCACGCACTGTTCACTGCACCTTAAAAGGAGCCGGGGTCCGACTTGGCCCCGGGTGAGTGCCCCAGTGCAGCGCAGCCCTGTGCACCTGTGACCTGCAGTGTAAGGTGCCGGGTTGGGTGACACATCTGCCCTGAGCACTCTGTGGAACTGGGACGTGTAAACACAGGGCTCCTGTGAACACCACCAACTCTGGGGTCCCCACTCACCTACCATCTTTGGGGACCCCCATCTGTGTATACTTCCTCTTAATGCTGTTTCTCTCCTCTTCACAATGTGCCCCAATTCCCCTGGGGCAATATGAATCCCATTCCTTCCAGGGGCCAGCAGGGGACAGTGTCCCCAGTTCATGTGTGGCTGGCTGCCGGAAGCTGACTGTGCATCCTCTCTGTGCTGTGTGCACCGTGAAAGGCGCCTCTATTCCATCCAAGGAGCTTGGTGGGGGGGACTGTAATTACTTGAAAGAGTAATTGAGACCCTGGACACTGAAGCATTGTGGGGCAGAGGAGAGGTGCATGGGGGCAGAGTGGACAGGGGAAGGTACTTTGGGGGCAGAGGTGCCTTGCCTCCTCTTGTGTGGAAGCTACCAATGGTTCTGTGTTCAGGGCTGGGACAGGCCAGGGAGGGCCTTAGGGTTCAAGTCCCCTGCTCCACAGTTTCTCCTATCTGCCCAGAAGCAGTGAGACTAAACATACAGATCTGGGCTCCATCCTTAGACAACACACCTGCATTCCCTTCTGGGGCAGGAGCTCTGTGCTGAGACTGGGAGGATGGAGGCTGATCCACCCTCACAACGCCTTTTCCCTCCCCCAGAGAACTCTCAAGGAACCACTCTCAGCACTAGCTAAGAAATGCCCCTTCAGCAAGCCATGGGCTCCTGGTGCTACCTGGATCACTGGAATACAGGTACATCCTGTAAGATCCAGGACGCCACAGCAGAATCTTCTGAGCCTGGCTGCAGGGAAGCAGGGCTGGCCAAGGAAGGGTCAATTACCTTATGCACAGGCAGATCTTTTTCAGCATCACTGGCACTGGCAGTGTCCTCAGACCCACTGTGAGATGATGGGCAAGACCAGCTTCAGGGAGAGAAAGCCAGCCCAGGCCAGGCTCTGGCCAAAGCCTGCATCCCCTTATAGTGAGGAGGAAGTCTATTAATACAAAGAACTATGTGCTGGTAGGAACAAACAGCTATGGACCTCCTTAGTCAAGTCCCTGCTGAATGGGGAAGGGGGAAATCTGCCTTCTTGTTGTGCCTTTTCTCCACTAATGTCCGTGTGTTTTCTGGTCACAAATCTGTCACTCGTTTAGCTTTGACAGCCTGCTTGGGAAACCCAGATCCTGTCTTGTGCAAATCCACATAGGAACCGATCAGTTAGGAACAAGCTGAGCCCTAGATGAAATAAGGCCACTTAGGTTCAGAATCTTGGAGCAAGAGACCCACCCTGGATAAGCCAAGAAGACTCCAGGGGGACTTTTTATGGTTGAACTTGGAAATGCTCTCCAAGAGTGATGGGTGGAACCCACCTGCCAGAATTCCTTGCGTAGGGGTGGGACAGAGGGTCATTGTTAAAAATGTAGATTCTTTGGCCAAGGAGCACGTACGTGAAAGAGTGCTCAACAATATTAGCCACCAGGGACACAAGTCAAACCACAACAAGATCCCACTTCCCACCCACTCGGGTGGCTGCAATCACAAAGTCGGGTGACGAGTGCTGGCGAGGATGTGGAAAGACGGGAAGCTACAGTGGTACAGCCGCTGTGGACAACAGCTGGCGGCTCCTCCAACAGTTAAACGTGGAGTTACCACACTGCCCAGCAAGGCCACTCCTAGGGATGTACCCAAGGGAAACGAAACGTGTTTCTGCCCCCAACGGGGGCATTATTCCTTATAGCCAAATGGTGGAAACAATCCAGTGTCCATCAACAGACAAGGGAACTAACAAGACCTACTGTGTGCACAGCATACAACGTCACTTGGCCATGAGAATGGCTGAAGCGCTGACACCTGCTACAACATGAACAGACCTTTAAAACATCATTAAGCTGGAGAAGCCAGGTGCAAAAGGCCACATCTCGTATGACACGTTCGCATAGAAGTACAGAGTAGGGAAATCTAGAGGGACACAAAGTGGGTTGGTTCCTGCTTGGGGCTGATGTGGGGAGGGATGGAGGAAAGTCAATGCTAACAGTGTGGGGTTTCCAAGAGATGATCAAAAAGGTCAACCATGGATTGTGGTGACAGTTGTACGTATCTGTAAATATACAAAAAAATTGAATTTTGCACTTGAAAATCACAAATTCCTGGGCTTCTTCCCAAAACTATTTATATGAAAGACTGAAGGAAACAGACCAAGTGTGGTGTTTTATGAGAAAGGCAGCAAATTGCAGCTGGGGAGACAGGAGTCTCCTCACCTCTGTCTCAATGGTCCTTTGCCTTTTGTATTCAGTCACTAGAAGTTCTGCTCTTTCCTTTTAATAAGAATGTTTCTTTTGGGCGTGGCACTTGAAGTACAGTGGTTACAGCACCGGCCACATACACCCAGGCTGGCAGGTTCAAACCTGGCCTGGGTCTGCTAAACATGGATGACAAGTGCAAAAAAAAAAAAAAAAAAAAAAGCTGGTTGTTATGCTAGGCACTTGTATTCCCAGCTACTTGGGAGGCTGAGGTAAGAGAATGGGTTAAGCCCAAGAGTTACAGGTAGCTGTGACCTGTGATGCCATGGCACTCTATGGAGGCTGACAAAATGAGACTATACCTAAAAAAAAAAAAAAAAGACTGGTATTTGTCCATGGGTTCTAG